ATACGAATTCAAATACTGATTTAAGTACGGATCCAAGTACGAGTTCCAGTACAGCTTCCAGTACGGGTTCCAGCATGGGTTCAAGTACGGATTTAATTACGAATTCAAATACGGTTTCAAGTACGGATTCAAGTATGGATTCAAGTACGGATTTAATTACGGATTTAAATTCGGCTTCCAGTACGAGTTCCAGTATGGGTTCAAGTACGGATTTAATTACGAATTCAAATACGGACTTCAATACAGATTCTAGTAGGGATTCAAGTACGGATTCAAGTACGGATTCAAGTATGGATTTAGGTACGGATTTAAGTTCGGATTCAACTACTGACTTAACTACGGATTTAACTACGAATTCTAGTACGTATTCAAATACGAATTCAAATACTGATTCAAGTACGGATCCAAGTACGAGTTCCAGTACGGCTTCCAGTACGGGTTCCAGCATGGGTTCAAGTACGGATTTAATTACGGATTCAAATACGGACTTAAATACGGATTCAAGTCCGGACTCAAGAATGGATTCAAGTACGGATTCAAGTACGGATTCAAATACGTATTCCAGTATGGGTTCAAGTACTGATTTAATTACGGATTCAAGTTCGAATTCAACTACTGACTTAACTACCGATTTAACTACGAATTCTAGTACGTATTCAAATACGAATTCAAATACTGATTCAAGTACGGATCCAAGTACGAGTTCCAGTACGGCTTCCAGTACGGGTTCCAGCATGGGTTCAAGTACGGATTTAATTACGGATTCAAATACGGTTTCAAGTACGGATTCAAGTATGGATTCAAGTACGGATTCAAGTAAGGATTCAACTACGGATTCAAGTACGGATTCAAGTACGGATTCCAGTGTGGGTTCAAGTACCGATTTAATTACGGATTCAAGTACGGATTCAACTACGGATTTAAAAACGGCAACCAGTACGAGTTCCAGTATGGGTTCAAGTACGGATTTAATTACGAATTCAAATACGGACTTCAATACGGATTCTTGTAGGAATTCAAGTACGGATTCAAGTATGGATTCAAGTACGGATTCAAGTTCGGATTCAACTACCGACTTAACTACGGATTTAACTACAAATTCTAGTCCTTATTCAAATACGAATTCAAATACTGATTCAAGTACGGATCCAAGTACGAGTTCCAGTACAGGCTCCAGTAAGGGTTCCAGTACAAGCTACGGTACGGGTTTAAGTACGAATTTAGGTACAGATTCAAGTACGGATTTAATTACGGATTCACGTACGGATTCAAGTGCGGATTCAAATACGGGCTTAAATATGGCTTCAAGTACGAGTTCCAGTACGAGCTCCAGTAAAAGTTCCAGTACGGGTTCCAGCATGGGTTCAAGTTCGGATTCAAGTAAGGATTCCAGTATGGGTTCAAGTACTGATTTAATAACGGATTCAAGTACGGATTTCAATACGGCTTCAAGTACGAATTCAAGTACGAGTTCCAGTACGGCTTCCAGTATGGGTTCTAGTACGGATTCCAGTACGGATTCAAGTATGGATTTAAATACAGATTTAAATACGGCTTCAAGTACGAGTTCCAGTACGGGCTCCAGTAAGGGTACAAGTACGAGTTTCACTACGGGTTCAAGTACGGACTTAATTACGGATTCAAGAACTATTTCAAGTACGGATTTAAGTAAGGATTCAATTACGGATTCATCTACGGATGCAAGTAAGGATTTAATTACGGGTTCAACCCCAAAATTAAGAACGGATTCAAGTATAATGTCAGTATCAAAAGCAAAAGTGGATTTTATTATTTGGTTTTTTAGCATTTTTCTATCTGCGATTATTGCAGTGCTTGTCATATACTTGATAATGCGTCGCAATGGGTCCTATTCTGTCAGAAACCATCATCAAATTTAAATAACGTTTAAATTTAAAATAATTGAAAAATAATGAACTGATGATTTCTATTTATTTAAATTATAATATTGTTCTATGAAATACAAAAATTAATCTTTATTAATACATTACACCTTGCTAAGCGTCCCAGGGCCATAAATAATTTAACTATTTAATTTTTACTATGCATTGTAATTAATTTTAACAGGACTGCAATAAAAACTTTGTATAATTGTAAAAAGGCAAAATACCTGGAAATATAAAATATGCAACGGCAGTTTATTAACTTAACAGCGTTTTCTTTTCAGCTGTATTGGGTCTGTGAAAATGTGGGGAAAACAAATAGGTGAGTTGGGCTCTACACTAAAGTTCTATTGCTTTTTTTTTACATCTTAATACAATTTTGGACTATTGTTAGAGTTGATGGCTACACCCAAAAAAAGTACATCAGTAACTCAGTGTCAAAAAATGTATATTTTAAGTTTGAGATAAAAAGAAATGAATAATTAAAATAAAATGCGTCATTAAGTTGAATAAATAATGGCGGAGACGACCGACTCGACAATGCCTTACCCTACACTTCATTCTTTCAATGAAAACACTAATAGATAAATTACTGAATTAGGGCTAGAAACGAACTAAATCTGAACACAAGTCTCATAAGAAATCACTGTGCTCTAATTATAACTATCTCTGTGGTCCGAACAAGATCCGCTGGGACACACATCGAATCTTGCATACCCATGAGCACCGCAAATACCCCGTTTTCAATAAAGCTTCACAAACATTAATGAACATTTAAAAGTTTTAATTTAATTCTTGACACAGGACAGAGAAGTCGACTCCGAAACGTATCCATTCCCAATATTGAAAAACAAAAAATTTTAATATGATTAAATTTCAATTGATTTTGGTCTGCCTGGTATTGTGCGCTTCCAGCACTGTTTTTGGATACAACACGAAATATGGTCGCAAACACGCCTGCACGGATATATACGTACGTATTTCTAAAAAACAAAGAATAATATTACCTATATTATAAAGTTCTTTGACTAATGATCTTCAAAACCAGACGTAATGTTTTTTTGTAGGTTCGGAAATTGAATCGATAAATTCGTTTGATTTTTATAAAATTAGAAATTTATTATAGAAATCCTTAAAAACAAATATTTATCAAGTAATAAGCAAATAAATGTTAAAGTTTGGATGATTTTTGTACTATTTCCCCAAAATAATCTGTGAAACTAAATATTTTCTCGTAGGGGAACTTATGTGAACATGCCGACGAAGATGTGAAAGTTTTACCTACGGATTCAACTACGGACTCAACTACAGACTTAACTACGGATTCCAATACGTATTCAACTACGGATTCAACAACGGATTTTTCTACGGACTTAAGCACGGATTTAAGTACAGAATCAAGTACGGAATCAAATGCACACTCCTTTAAAAACTCAGATTGTGGAAAAGTTTATCTTATTTGGTTTTTTTGCATTCTTCTTTGTGGGATTATTGCAGTGCTTGTCATATACTTGATAAAGCGCCGCAATGGGTCCTATACTGTCAGAGACGAATGTAGTCCTCACAATTCCAAAACCGTTCAATTTAAAAATCAACATAGTGACGTATAATATCGATTCAAAACAGTTTAACTAATTATTATATCAAAGCCTTGGTTTTCCACATATACTACTCCTATTAAATTCCAGTAATATTATTAGCCAAATATAGCCATGAGCTTTACAAAAATTATAATCGATGCGGTCCCACCAATATAATTAAGATTACTACTTAATTACTGTATTAAAGAGTGATGCGATTAATTTTAACAAGTGTTTAATAAATGTATAATTTTTATTATTCCAACCATTAATAAAAGTTGTTTATTTTGTATGAGTCAACAGACATTAGTAATATTTGCTTAAAATATTTTCTCCAGACTGGTAGAGGATGTCGCCAACAACAAAAAAAGCTTTATCGCTACGAAATGCAACAAAAATTAAGCTTAGCTTTTCGGAAAAATTTGGCGATCGTCTTAGTCAGCTTTCTTTGAAGAAAAAGGGGTTTTATTCTCCGATAAGAAAATGTTGCCTTTGACTCATTTTTAAATAAATGTGTCACCCAGCTAAACAATTTCCAAAAAAAATTTCCTCCAGCGGGCGGGAATAAGCCCAACGCTATCAGTTTTTTCGCTCTCTCAAAATTATCAACTCCGTTTCGGAATACCTCATGACATCATAATTAACACATAAAAAAAATTGTTGGGGTGTTGATTCTACTTGTTATATACTTTCCAACGATTAGAATATAACCTTTTAGTCTGCGAGTTACGGGTATAAAATCAGGCCAATCGATCTAGCCATGTCCGCCCGTCTGTTTGTTGCTACGACAACAAGTCCCTCAGTTTTAAAGCTATTTGAATAAAACTTAAAGAATTTAAATAAATCTTACCGAGTATTTTAAAAAGTGTACAATAATAATTCTATTCAATTCACAAAATTTCAAAAATAGAAAATTCCATAAAACACTTTGAAAGTTTGTAAGTGTACCGCAAAAACTTACAAGACCCATATACGACACTGGTTTTGCCACGTTTCTGGAATGATTACTGCCTTTTTTACGGCTACCTCCGGCCATAGGAATTCCATTTTTCCGAAAATAACACAAAATAAATCCTTATCAAGAAAGGAAGCAAACTTCGGCTTGCATTTATATTACAAAACGACTACATTTGGATTTCTATACCTATGTTACTAAAAACAATGAAGCTACATACGTCGATTTTGAGTTGCACTTTGTCATCGTTTCTATGGCAGCTAAATGATATTGTTGTCTGATTTTGATTGTTGTCCTTAATTCTGATATAGTATATAATTACTATATTACAAAATTTTGATGGAAATTCATTTGCTGCAGTCTGAGTGTAAAACGACTATAGTAAACAAAAAGCAATTATTAATATATTTTACAAAATAAATATATTTTATTTTTTTGATACCATTTATTATAGACAACATCGATACCCAAAACTATCGATGGTGCCCATTATCGATTTTTTCCTAACTTTACCATTGGGTTCGTATTTCAATCCAGCCTCATTCACAGTTATAATTTCACGAAATGCACTTGACAAGCACACTGATTTGCCTTCTTTTCGTCGGCTTGGGAATCGAGCTACCCACACCAACAGCCGCTCAGTACTGGCGACCCGAACCGGGAGATCCCGATCCTGCCTATTGGAAGGATTACGAGTACGATGATGATACGGAATCAACTACGGATTCAACTACAGGTTTAAGTACTGATGAAAGTACTGATTCAAGCACTGGTTTAAGCAAGGAATTAACTACGGCTTTCGAAACGATTTCAAGTACGGATTCCAGTACGTATTCAAGTACAGATTTAAATACGGAATCAAGTACGGACTACAGTTGGACTTCAAGTACGGATTCAAATCCACACTTCCCACAAACAATTGCAAATGATTGGAAAACATATCTATGTTGGTTTTTTGTCATTTTACTTTCTGGCATTATTGTAGTGCTGGTTAAATTCATGGTGCGCCGCAAAACGTCTTATTCTGTCAAAGACCAGTGTGGAGCTCCTGAATTAGGTACCGTTCAGTTTAAAAAGTAATATTCGTATGCTGACTTTAAATATCAAATAGAAACTGTTTAAAAGTTAGTCTTATTAAATTCCAGTAATATTATTTCCCAAATATAGCCATGAGCAGTAAAAAAATTATAATCAACTATTAAATTTATTAAATAATAAATGTATACTTTTTATTAGTTCGATCCTTTATTTTTTATGAGTTAAAAGGCATTAGTAATATTCGTTTAAAATATTTTATCCAGCGTGGTACAGGATGTCACCAAGAACAAAAAAAACTGCCATTCATCTTTATCGCTACGAAATACCAAAAAAATGATATTTTTTGACATATTTCCGAACCGAATGAATCAGTTGCTTTTTAAAAGAATCTTATGCAATAAGGGAATGTCTTTATTTTCAAATGGTAAGCTCGAGATCAAAATCAAAGTAGCGAATACAAATCAATTAAATAGTAGTTCAAACTTTGGGTGAACCTACACCGGAACGCACATGGTGGATTGCTCGTGGTAAGTGAATCCCGGATCGCAGATACACCGATTTCGGCTGACACACACGCCGTTGTCGCACTTCCTGCAGTGGATGAGGAGTGGTTTTAATAAGGGACTAATCAAGGGCGCTTATTCGATGACTCACTGATAGCAGTCCGCCTGGCAGACACCGTCCTTTGGATTGTATCCCGGTCCACAGTCGCAGACGTTGTTGTCCTTGCAAAGACCGCCGATTCCGCAGTCCGGTTCGCAGACGGGCTGGCATCCGACGTCGGTCAGCTGGTATCCCTTGGAGCATCCACACACCTCCGGCTCGGTGCAGTTGTGCCGTGTACTGCTGCCACACCCACTGCTGCAAATGGGTCGGCAATAGCGCCGCGTTTCATCCAGCTTGTAGCCCGGATCGCACTGGCAGCTGCCGTCCAAAAAGCACTGCCCGTTCTGGCAGCCCAGCGGACAGGCGAACACACAGTCGCCGTTGTCATTTTGGACGAACCCGTCGTAGCACTCGCACTCACCCGGTCTCCGGCAGCTCCCATTCTGGCAGCTACATTGCGCCCGGCACACGGTCACGCCCATCAGCCTACTGGCCGAGTAGCCCGTGCAGCACACCTCGATCATGAACAGGTGGTTGGCCTGGTCCTTCTGGATGACACTGTGATGCGAGTACTTGTCAACCGTATCGGGCCTGCAAAAAGTTGGGCAGAAAAAGATTTAAATAAAAGAAATTGGTTTTATTCCTACTTCTCAACCTTTGAAGACCTTTACAAGTGTGAAGATATAGAAAAATTATGCTCAATTTGTAGTCTTAAAATAAAGCATTTAGATGTGAAGCCTTTTTAATGATGTAAGGCCCGTTTTCTTGCCTTTATGATAAGCTCAAAGAGAGTCTCAAAACGGCAAAACATCATAAGCTTACTCATTTTAAAATAAATTTTTGAATCATACTGAAGACGTGGAAACGAGCTTAAAAGAATTTAAAAAACACATACATATACAAATCTAATAGATACAATGGTTGAAAATTATTTTAAAGAAGCGCACAAAATTGATGTATAACTCTGTTTGTTTCAGATTATTATTGGAATAGATTTTTCCTAGGTTTGTCACTTGTACTGCAGTAACATCTAAAAACTTACGGCACCCAAATGCGGCACTTGTTTTGCCCTCCAACGGAAAGCGTTTCGTGGGCTCGAATCATATACTCGCGACGTTTCGGTTGCCGTTCAGCATTTCTGGGATCTTCGAATTTTGCTGGTCCACCAGGTCGATTATATGACAATTGCCTGTTTTCCGGATAATCGCGTACATAGTTACCCGCACCTGGATGCTGGGATGCGGGTCTCCTATTATATTGCTCAGAATAATTGGGAACACTGGTGTAAATGGTGGGCAGACACACCATTAGCTGAAAAAAGCTCAGACGAAGGCCTAAATCTCCTAGCCACATTTTGCGAAACCACACGATTTAGTTTTGTCTATAATGTGTTCACAATTTGCCAGCTGAAACTCTACTAATTTTCGCCCCTTAAACCATTTTTATTTGTTTGTCTTATCAGAAAAGCTATAGTATATGCATAGGCAAAAATGAGAGAAATGCGACTTGTTCTTACCCACTAAAAATTAGTTTTCTAATACAAATAACACAAAATAAAATGCTTAATAAATGCACTCGATTTTTATTTTTGATGGCCAAAGAAGATCGTTTTGACTCTGTAAAAAAAAAAAACAAATGTATTATTATTTTTAATCACTCTTAAACTTCCATCCCTATATACTTAGAAAAATCACAGACGGTTTCACAATTAGCAATGAAACCACATAAAACAATCTTTAGTTCGTTCCTACTTGACATACATTGGCCTTGCGAGCCCTGGATCTCTCGCACTCGATCCGAATTAAAAGCTGGAAGCCCTCTTATCATTGCCTCCGGCTGTGATTAGAGGCTGGCCCAACTGCGTCGTCGACGGGGCAGTAAACAATTGCGACTTGAGCGTTTCGGTAGCGCGGCACAAATAAATCTGTCCCAGGGCCGCCATGTCGGCACTTCTGCGCTCTTTGTGCCTCCACTCGGTGCTCCTGGTCCTGTTCCTCTGCGTGCTGCAAGCCCTGGAGTTGCAACTCCACGAGCAGCAGCTCCAGCAGCAAAGAGACGAGCAGGCGCGTCTGCGCGAGGAACAGCGCCAGCGGGACCTTCAGCGGGAGCACGAGGCTCTCCAGCGGCGCCTCTCCTCCTCGACCACCACTCGCAAGCCCTACGTGATCCCCAACGGATTATCTCTGCCCCGGCGGGGGGAACACCCGGACAAGTGCTACCGGGAAGTGCCGTAAGTGGGTGGGGCCCTAACTCAAAACAATATTTGGGTTCTCCTACACTTTCCTCAAATTAAAAATTATTACAGTACCCGTTTTTATACCCGTTACTCGTAGAGTAAAAGGGTATATTGTATTCGTGCAAAAGTATGTAACAGCTAGAAGGAAGCGTTTCCGACCCTATAAAGTATATATATTCTTGATCAGGGTCACTAGCCGAGTCGATATAGCCATGTCCGTCTGTCCGTCTGTCCGTCTGTCTGTCCGTCTGTCTGTCTGTCTGTCCGTATGAACGCTGAGATCTCGGAAACTATAAAAGCTAGAAGATTGGCATTTTGCATGCAGATTCTAGGAGTTCCTACGCAGCGCAAGTTTGTTTCAAAAAGGTGCCACGCCCCCTTTAACGCCCACAATCGCTTATATACGATTTTAAAAATTTAAATATTTCGGAAAAGTAAAAATGCAGTTTTATTGTGTTTATCAATACCTATCGAAATGTAGAAGTAATTTTTCAAATCGGACCATTCGTTAAAAAGTTATGCGTGATCAAAGTTCCTATCTCAATCTCCCTCGCACTCCCTTTACCTGAGTAACGGGTATCTGATAGTCGGGGCACCCGACTATAGCGTTCTCTCTTGTTTAAATTTAAACACAACATAATGCATTTCATTTTGTTTAAACTATTTTTTTTTATAAATAGTACATATATTTAAACATTTTTTTATGTTTTTTAACCAATATGTTATTAAAAACATCCACATAAGTTCTATAACTTTTTAAAAATGTTGTAACTTTTTACAAAAAGTATTAACTTAACTTTTTGTTGAAATAGAAAGTTTAAAATGGATAATGTTGTGTTAAAAAATAATGAAATATAAAATGTTTTCTTGAAATATATATATTTTTCTCACCTTAGACATCTAAAATATTAAGCAATATGATTTTCCAGGGCCGTGTTCTTCCAGTACGACAAGGAGGTGAAGATTGTAGGCAACAGCACCACCAATCGCTACTTCAACGTTATCGAGGTGTGTTGCAAGGGCTGGCGGCGCTACGAGTACGACTGGAGCCAGTGCGTCCCCGACTGCGGGGATCGGTGCCAGGAGAACGGCTTCTGTTTGGCGGGAGGGATCTGCCAGTGCTTCGAGGACTTCGTGCTCGACTACCGCCACAACTGTGTGCCCACCTGTCCGCTGGGCTGTCCGCATGGCCGGTGCTTCCTCAACGGCACCTGCAAGTGCGACCGGGGCTACGAGCTGGACGGATCCCGCCGCTTCTGCCAACCGCAGTGCAACGCCACCTGCGGCCACAACGAGGTCTGCCTGGAGCCGGGCAAGTGCTCCTGCGCCGAGGGCTATGCCCGGGGATTGCGGGAATCCTCGGCCCTGGGCTGCCAGCCCATCTGCATTCCAGACTGCGGCTACGGCCACTGCGTCGGGCCCAACGACTGCCGTTGCTTCCCCGGATATGAGAAGCGACTGAACAGCAGCTCCTGCGAAGCAATCTGCTACTTGTGAGTCTTCCAATCACCCCACTTACCTATTACACACTAGTACAATATTCTATAATTGAGATAAAAATGCAGTATTATGTGGAACTTAAGAACAATAGACTGCTGCTAAATAAACACTAAAAAGAATGCTCTCAGTATCATGTGGTGCAACCAGGGACCAAAAACAGTCTTAATTAAAATATACAAAGAAGGGAATTAATTATTTTTTTATTGAATTATTTTCTATATATTTTATTTTGTGCAAAAGGTAAATTAATTTGGTTATAAAAATAATAATAAAGATTGATTGTTTTTAGTGTTGTAAAAAGTTCACTATTTTATTAGATACTTAAATCAAATTCGTTTTCTAATATTTATTGTGTTTTTTTCTACAAATAGCATATGAAAGATCAATTTGACAATGGGTACATTATTCATTTGTATTCTTAATTTTAATTATGAAAAAATGTTTAACTAAAGTATTTAATTTTAACAATTTTAAGGCGCTGTCAGAATGGATTCTGTGCGAACCTCACGACGTGCGTGTGTCAGAACGGATATCGCTACGACGCCAACACCACGAGCTGTCTTCCGGATTGCGGGCACACCTGCGACAACGGAGTCTGCATCTCGCCGGGCAACTGCCGCTGCTTCAACGGCTACGTCCGGAATCGGGAGCGGTGCGAGGCGGTCTGCGTCGGGGGCTGCGGCTTCTACGGCAAGTGCATAGCGCCGAATGTGTGCGGATGCGCCGTGGTCCCGAGTCCGGATCAGATCTACCAGCGGTGCCAGCACGGACTGTGCAACTCCATGGGGCGATGCCGCTGCCAGGTGGGCAAGACGCGCTTCATCGACAAGTGCATGTCACCGGACACGGTCACCACATACGCCTCGATGGACACTGTCCGCGTGAACGGATCGCTCATCCAGGAATTCAATCTGCTGCTGGGCAGGCACTTCAATTTCACCACTAACACCCAAATATGGGATCAGCCATGAGATGAGGGCTACAGTTCTCCCTCTAAAACACACTCACTTCTTCAGAGTCACAAAGAAATCACAAATAAATACTCATACATATATACACCATTGCGGTCTTATCAGTGGGCTCTATGCATGTCTTCGGGTTTCATCTCTAGGGTGTTGTATTTTTGGGAGCGACTTTAATTTACTTTGTTTGTTAGACGAACCATTGCTACCCTTTTCACAAAATTTATTGAAATATGAGAAGATTTTGTCATTAATAAGCAAGAATAGAGGGGTGCACACAATTTAGTATTTAAAGTAAATGTTTTCCAATAAAAACAACAAATATTTATCACTTACCTCCGACAAATTGATATACCCCACGAATGCCGGGTACTAAAATAGTATTATCTTCTTAGGAATATAGAACATTTCTTTCTCCGTACACTTTAAAGCCGAGCTTGACACAGACGACAATTTAGTTGTTCCGAGACGTTGGCGAGCATTGCGTTCTCGTTTTATTTCGACCTCACTCTCAGTTGTAGCTTAGCGAAATGCACTTGACATCCACGCTGATTGGCCTTCTTATCATCGGCACGGGACTCGAGCTGCCCACTCCAATCGCAGCCCAGTTCTGGAAGACACCAAATAAGGACAACAACAATCTAAACTGGCGCAATGAGGCGTTGGCCAGAAGACCATCCGGCATCTGCTACAAGACTCTTACGTAGGTAATCCATTCAGATTTACGAATCAACTTCAATATCAAATTCCTTTCAGTGTGGATACCGTGAATCCCAATTCGAGAAGTCGACAGATCTCCTTCTGCTGCAATGACTATGTGAATAAAGGCAACAACCAACTTCTGAAATGTGAGCCCATCTGCAGGGAGGATTGCTCGAATGGCCTGTGCATTACGCCGGGAGATTGCGAGTGTGCTCCTGGATACGAGCGGAGGGACAGGAAGTGCCGAAATGGGTTGAATAGAGATTAATAAATAAATATATTAACGCAAACTAACTTATCTTATTCATTAGCTATCAATTAATAATCTAGTCAAAGTCAATGACAATTTAATGAAAGTAAAAAGGATTGTGTGGTGGTGATCAATGTCTTAGAAGTCGTTATTCTTCTGCTTAAAGATCCAATTAAAGGTGGCTAATATTTTATTGAAATCGTCGTATTTTTTTTAGTATTGGCTAACAAAAAACATCTTAAATAAACTTTCAAAATTTATAAGAGTTTACTAAGCAAACCAAAGTATATTTGACAGTAACAAATATTAAAATGATACAAAATAATGTTGTTTGCTTAACAACAAAATAATAAAATTCGAATTCACAGGCTGTTTATTTACGACAACCTCATATTTAAATTACACAAATATCGGCAGGTTATTTAATTTGTTAAGCTAATTCACATATTCAATTTATAGTTTCTATGTTTTGCAGAGTATTAGAGTATTACAAAAATTGTATATTTATGTCGAAATCTCATGATTACTTTCAATAAGGCACTTTTTATTTGTATTTTAGAAAGCTTAATAGATTGGTTGATCGTCACTAACATGTTCTGCGACTTTGGTGCTCAGCACTCCTCAACTCCTCAGTTCTCGCGAGTACCTGAAGTCATCGTTATACGCCATAGTTTTCTTGGAAATACCCAAAGGCAATGAATTTTGTTTACGAGCCGCAAATTATAGAAGTGATCAGTTAGCGCTGCCTGATAGCTGCTAAGAGCAAACCTTCGCTCTGTTTGCCCCATCGATAGGTCCCGGTTCCAATGGCGAGGTGCTGATTAGGAGGGGGGCAGGAGGTCGCCGGAGGCGATTTGCGATTGGCGACTGAAAGACCGGCAGCTTCGCTTTGGGAGACGATTAGTCGAAGTGCAACTACAGCCGCCAGCGGACGTGGACGTGGGCGCACCATCAATCTCCATTCGTAATCCGTAATCAAGTGACATCACCATGAGGTCATCGTCGTGCCAGCTGCTGTGCCTGGCTGTTCTAATGGCCATCTGCTCCCTGGGCCAGGGACAATTCAAGACGTCTGGCATCAAGACGCGCCAGCCGCCATCGGGAAACCTGCAGCTTTCCGGAAATAGTAGTGAGTTTGGGTGGAGCAACTACAACCAAACGAACTATGCCTGGAACAGCAGTCAAAACCGGAGTAACTACGGCTGGAGCAGTCAAAATCATATGGGCCAGGGATCCGGTGGATTTGTGGCCGCCGAGACATACCAACCGGCCACCCTTCCCCCGCTCTATGGACACTATGTGCAGGCGGTGACTCCGCCGGTTCATCGTGCACCCCAAATCCTCGATGAAACGGCCCTGTTCATCAACAAAACCCGATCTGGCATGGCCAGCGGCGTCTGCTTCAAGGAAGTTCCGTAAGTCTGGGGGAAATCCAAAAAAAGTCCTAATCGGTAAGAAAATATTTATATTTCCACTTCAAGTTATCGTCCAATTCGGAAATCATTCGAAAACAAGGCAAGCAATTAAAATAGTGAACTAACGACCTCAACTTCCTCCACTGGCCTGATAACTGAATGCGACTTGATTTCACTAGTATATGTATACCAAGCTAATAATGTGGGTAGAGTTAATATGCAGCGAGCAGAAAGTTTGAAGATAAGCGTTAAGCTAATAATGTTGAAGATTGGGCATTTGAATTTATTTTAAAATCGTAAACCCTTCAAGTCAAGATATTACTAAGAAAAGCAAACTATATAAAACAATGTTATCGTTTAGTTTGGAACAATATAAAAATAATTGGTCTTTTATGCTGAAATTAACATCTTAGTGAAAGAGAAATTAATGAGAAAATGTACCTTTAGCTTGATTTTTCATATTCATGAGATGCCTACCAATTTAGTAATAATAACATTTTGAATAAATGGTTGTATTTGGAGAGGACAGGAAATTCCGTTTGAAATAGTATTTGCTAGCAATATTGAGTGTTTGTGGACTATAAATAATTAGATTAAATTACCGAAATTAACATTACAGTGAAATAAGGGATTCGGACTTTTACGAAATTCTCCTTAATTTCGATTGTAATACAACAATATACTAATGATATTATTTATTTGTAAGCACAAACAATATTTGGGGTTTTCAAAAAATGACCTCAACATAAATGATTAATTGAAAATTGTTTTTACATTTTGTTTACATTATACAAAATTCCAGAACCGCTTCCCTTGTGCGCAATTCCGGGGATAAGTTCGTGGGCAATGGCACCACCCCGGACATGAGTCGCATCGAGGTCTGCTGCGAGGGCTACGAACGCAATCCGCACATTTACCGCCGCTGCGAGCCCATCTGCGCGGACGACTGCCCCAATGGAATCTGCACGGCGCCCAACACCTGTGTCTGCATCCCTGGCCATGTACGCACCTTCGAGGGCAAGTGCATCTCCACCTGCCCCCTGGGCTGTGGCAACGGGGTGTGCGACGAGAACAACGCGTGCAAGTGCCGCGAAGGCTACTCCCTGGAGCCCGTGAGTGGCAAGTACTGCCAGCCGGACTGCAAACCCGGCTGCTCCTTCGGCCGCTGCGTGGCGCCCAACAAGTGCGCCTGCCTCGAAGGATACCGCCCGGCCGCCGACGGATCCTGCGAACCAGTCTGCGACAGCTGCGAGAATGGACGGTGCACGGCCCCAGGACACTGCACCTGCAACGAGGGCTACCTCAAGCTCCAAGGACGCTGTGAGCCCATCTGCTCCACGTGAGTACAAAAGCCTTCTTCCAATTAAAGTAATATTTTGAATAAGTAAAGTCTTGGACACTCCAAGATTATTTAAAAACCTTATTTCAATAAAGTTTTAAACGCAAGATCTTTATTTATTATTATTACATTACTTATACTAATACTCAGCTTATAAATGTTAATAATTTTGTAATAGACAATACGACTGGCAATAAAAACTGTTGCTTTAGTCAGAAAGTTCTTTAAATTTTAGACAAAAATACTTACAAATTGATTTACTTGCTAAAAACGATGGGTAATTGTATGCTTTTAAGTTGTTATAAATTGACTTTCTCTTTGAATGTCACTCCATCAGTATCTTAAATTATCTCAGATTCATAATTTTTAAAATAATTTTTGACTGGTTTAAAATAACAATTTTTTGATAAGTGACACTTCAATAATATAATGTAAAATGGTCATTTAAATCTATGTCATGTCAAATCTTAATATTGAGGTGTATTGCTGTTTTGGTAACTTTGTTTATTGGTACTTGTCCTTTGAGAAATCGGCTCTTAGCCCTTAGAAATGATTATGTTTAGTATAACCTGATTTAATGCTTATCCTTTCCCCAACTTCAGACCCTGCAAGAACGGACGCTGTATTAGTCCGGACACCTGTGAGTGCACCTCCGGATTCGAGTGGGACCGGAAGAAGTCGGAGTGCCTGCCGAAGTGCGACCTGCCCTGCCTCAATGGCGTCTGCGTGGGCAACAACCAGTGCGAGTGCAAGACGGGATACGTGAAGGACGACCACCAGGGGAACATCTGCCAGCCCCACTGCTCCCAGGGATGCCCCAACGGATTCTGCAGTGCCCCCAACTTCTGCATCTGCAGGCCGGGATTCATCAAGAGCGGCATTAAGGGACGCCAGACGTGCCAGGCCGTCTAAGTGGGACTTCCAATCTTTATTGTTTCTTCTTAGTTGAAATTAAATAGACGTCCGATCAGGGCATTGAACTCGTAGGCTAGCTGGCTATTGAAGTGCTTTCTCTTCTCGCTGGTGTAGAGTTGCTCGGTGAAGTGGTTTGGCTTCCAACAGCGATCGATGGTGTGGGTTTCCCCCGCCGGACAATTACAATGGCCCACATCGTCGCATCTTCCATTCAGGCAATGCTGCTCACCCTGGCCACAGCCGCAGATTTCGGGACTCAGACAGTGACCGTATTTGCCGCAGGATCTGGAGAGCAGAAAGTCATGAAAGTGGGAAGCTTTGGTCCTCTCACACAGACCTCTCACACTTGGGCCGACATCCGGTGCCGTGGGCCTCGTATCCTCCAAAGCAGCGACAAACTCCGGGTGCAATGCACACTCCATTCCCTTGGCCACAATTGTCGACGCACTGCGGCAAACAGCTGGTGGTGTTCAGGTCGTAGCGATATCCCTCTCGGCAGTGGCACTTGTATATCGACTCGCAGAATCCATTCTCGCAATTTCTGAATTTAAATTGAACAAGAAAGGAAAGCTAACTTCGGGCGGAGCCGAAGTTGAAATACCCTTGCAGAATATTCTGCAAATTATATTCTCCAAAATTATTCATATGATGCATTTTTAATACTCATAAAAAATCCCACCTTCCTAACTTTAAAAACACCAAAGTTATTTCATTTCCGATCAATCAGTTATATGGCAGCTATAGGATATAGTCGGCCGATCCTTATGAAATTTAATATGTCGAATTGATTGGGCAAAAATAAAACCCATAGAAAATCCCAACTTCCTAACTTTACAAACACCAAAGTTATGGCATTTCCGATCAATCAGTTATATGGCAGCTATAAGATATAGTCGGCCGATCCTTATGAAATTTGGTAGGTCGGATTGATTGGCCAAATATAAAACCCATAGAAAATCCAAACTTCCTAACTTTACAAACACCAAAGTTATTGCATTTCCGATCAATCAGTTATATGGCAGCTATAGGATATAGTCGGCCGATCCTTATGAAATTTGGTAGGTCGGATTGATTAGCCAAATATAAAACACATAGAAAATCCCAGCTTCCTAACTTTACAAACAGCAGAGTTATGGCATTTCCGATCGTTCAGTTATATGGCAGCTATAGGATATAGTCGGCCGATCCCGGCCGTTCCGACTTATATACTGCGTGCAAAAGAAAGAAGGGTGTGTGCAAAGTTTCAACTCGATAGCTTTAAAACTGAGAGACTAGTTTGCGTAGAAACAGACAGACGGACAGACGGACAGACGGACAGACGGACATGGCTATATCAACTCAGGAGGTGATCCTGATCAAGAATATATATACTTTATAGGGTCGGAGATGCCTCCTTCACTGCGTTGCACACTTTTGACCAAAATTATAATACCCTCTGCAAGGGTATAAAAATAATTTGTATTTTTAAGTAGTTTTGGTAGACTATTAACACTCTAAATCATTAGACAGAAGTGAGCTTGATAAACCGACTCCTTAACAAGACTATTGTGGCCAATCCTTTTCTGTTATTAAGTGCTTACAAGCCAAGGGCTCAAAATAATCTTGTTTCTACTTGAAAGTACTTGTAGAAATATTAAAAAATTCCAGAAAACTCACAGGTAGCACTCCGCCTCACAGACATTCCGGTTAGGACGCTTTATGAATCCGGCGAAGCACTCGCACTGGTTGGGCGCCACGCACTTGCCGAATCCGCAGTCCGGAGCGCAGACGGGCTGACATCCCAGGTCAGGGGTTCGTCGGTAGCCGGGGGAGCAGTCGCACTGACCCGTGGCCACACACTCCTCGTGGGTGCCACATGTCTGCGAGCATTGTGGTCGGCAGAACTGGCGGGTATCCTGATCCAGGACGAAGCCAGGGTGACAAGCACAAGTGCCGTTCAAGTAGCACCTTCCGTTCTGACACGCAATCGGACAGGTGTGGATGCAGGCCCCATGCTCGTTGCGAACAAACTCCTCGAAGCACTCACAGTTTCCCGGACTGCGGCAAAAGCCATTGCGGCAGTTGTCCGGGGAAGTTTCCGAGCAATCCGGCACACAATCGCCGGAATACTGATCTCGACGGTAGCCGGCACAACAAATCTCTATGCGATGAAAGAAAATGGTGGATCCATTACCGCGCTCCACGGAATCCTTCTCGGTTTGGAAAAACACAGTGCTGTAATCAGTCAATCGGTAAAGGGTTTCCCCGTACTCGAATTATCTATTAAATGCAATCTATTCACAGACAAAACTAGCAAAGGTGGGAAAAAGGGTCTACATATTTTAAAAAGTAAAACTCTTTGTGTATTGTTTTACTTTTTAACATGTTTTCAGCCTGTTGTTGCACCTTTAACGTCCAAATTTAAACCATAATATCATCTGTGAACTCTTATAATAAATTTATCATCTTTGATTTATATATAATATATTAATAAGTAGATTTCTGTTTGGTTTTATAATATTTTATAGTACTCACGGCACCTCGCGATGGCAGAGATGTTGCTGGCGTTCGCGGGTCAGACTTAGTGACTCAAACTCGCCCGGATTCTGTATGTCCCCGAAGAGCTCCGTAGAGGTGGCCTCAATCAGGGCAGGAAAGGCCACCAGCGTCAGCAGAGCGGTAAACACGGCCGACGGTCCACTAAAGTGCATGCCGTCTTATTGTTCTGAGCTTCGCAGTTGGGGAGCGAATGAACGAGCTGCCATGGGATTTCGATGTACAAGTAGGGCCTTATCAGCATCGGCTCTCGTTGTCGGAAAACGATCCACAAAAACAAACAGAGCAAACAAACAGAGAAAGGCACAATTTAAGCTACAATAATTTTGCCACAGTCAACACACAACACTTCAATTTGAATAATTTATAAATAGAGAATTCCGTCATTGATTGCGGATCTTAAAGGCAATAAAAATGTACCAAATGTAAACCAAAATAAATATATTAATTAACGTTTTTACTCCACCGGCGAAGTATTCCCACTCCAATTCTTATCGGTTATGGTTCCCATGTGGGTGGTTTAAATAAATATGGTGGTGTCGAACAGAAATCAGCAACCAGTTCTCATTTTGCACGCAGTGTATCAACACGTTCTTTTTAACTTTGAAGTTGAAAAAGAAATAATGAATTACTTAAAACTAATTTCACATATTAAGACAATTTGTGTGATTATCATAATCATAGTGACTCAGATAAATGCAAACGCCATTATATCAAAAGACTTTTCTTTAAAGGACAAAGCCACAAACGACCTTTCCAAAACAAATTTAACAACATTAGAAATGGATAAGCCAACAATAAATCCTTTGGCAACTGAAGAAAAAAAAGAAAATCTGGGAACAACGGATATAATCGTATTAATTGGACTAGGCCTAGGTATTATTGCCTTTGCTATTTACGTACGCTACTTATCAAAAAATTATGACTCGTACAACATATAAATATGATTTTAAAACTATATATATCCATAATCGGTGGTATCACAGAAATATCTTTCTAACAAAAAAACAATCCAAAATGTAATCACAGAAAACTCAGCAATTTCGACTAAACAAAATTTCAGATAAAAATCGGATATTTTATTGGCACCCTAATAGTTAACAAAATATTATTATTGGTCCTGAAAATTTAATTTGTATTACCTGCTCATCCAAACCAGTAAAATAACAATAAGCTAAACAATTTTTTATATGTACATATATTATTTAAACGGTCAAAAATATTTTAAGTATAACTATGTTGGAAAAATTATCTGACTTAAAAAAGTTATCCTTAAAAAAGAAACAGAAGAGAAAGAATATTTGAAATATTTAAGGAAATGTTAAATTCAATCGAATATATTTAAAAAGATTTGTACAATTCGTAAAATTTACCAAAAGGGTTTGTAATATCTACAGGAAAAACGAAAGTTTCGGTAATGCATTAAAGTATATTATTCTTGTAAAGACTGTTGGCATAATATTTCGGCGCATCCTTACAGGTGGGCAATTCTTTTGGCTGTGATTTGGGCAGGAACCTGCAAAAAGTTGGCGTTCTGTGGCGGAATTATCAAGTGGGTGACGTGGTGAGGTCGCTGATGGGAATGATGATTCCCGCTGGCGAACTGCTCATTTTCTGCCATCACTTGTGTCCTGGCCGGCAAAAATGCGGAGGCAGTTGTGGAGTGCTGGACGTGCTGGTGGTTCCTTGGGTGGTGCTGATTATGGTGGTGCTGCTGGTGGTAGCGAATCTCGTCGTACAGATGCGAATCCAGGCTGCCCTTTCGCGACTTTGGCGAGACCACCGAATACAGGGACTCCTTCCTAGCATAGGCATAGGGCGGTGTTTTAATCGACGAGTTATTGCTGGGCGTGTCATACAATTCTGGTGCTGTGGAAGGAATTAGGATTAAAAAGAATTTATTAAAAATTTCGATTACCTTTTAAATTTTGTTTCAAGTTGGTTAGGACACAAATTTTATGATTTGTGGATATTCAAAACTTAAATAATGAAAATTAAAATACACTATATCCCCGAATTTTATGAAAACGTGTAGATAGCTATTTTAAGGTCGGCAGAGACACTTACATACCCTCGTTCGAGTGGGGCGTAACTGCAAAGACCACTGGCGGTTGGGGCAGTGGTTCGTGGAAGTTCTTGCCCAGAGCAGCGGCCTCGGTAAGCACCACCTCCGGATTTGCAGGCAGTGTGGTCACAGTCCCGTTGGCATTGTATACGGCTGAATGTTTATGGTGATATCTCCGATAAATGTAGAGTGAGCCCACCGCGATTGCGATCAGCAGGAGCAGCATAATACTGACTAGGGTGGTGACCAAACCGGACTGATGATCCGACGCCGCCTGGCTTGAGTTGGAGCCGCCTCCCACGAATCCGGCCAGATGTTCCTGCGGCGAGGTGATCCCATTGGTTATGACATGGATGACCTCCGGAGTGGGAACACCAGCGGCTGCCGCCGAGTGAAGATTCTCGAGCAGTTCACTGCCCGACTGGTGGACAATGATCTTGGGCGAGTGCTGGGCATTATCGTGGGTAACTGGTTGCTTGATCACTATGACCTCCGGCATGGGAAGAGGAGTGGTTGGGCGTGGAATTATCCCCATTTTCTCCAGTGTAGAGTTAACAGTCTCCACGATGACGTGGCTCACATTCAGCTCTAGCGGATGATCCTGCAGGATGCAGACTCCCGTTTGTGGATGGCAAGGCTTCTCATCGCAATCGCAGGCCTTGCGACACATGATGCCGTGGGTTCCCTGGGGACATGACTGTTCGCAGCTGCACGGGAATAAAATGCCTTTATTAATATAGAATAAACTATTTAAATCATAAGCCAAATTAATATATCTTTGAACAATTATTTATACAATATTGTTAGTTATGAACTCGAAAAAAACTTACAATTGGCCAGTCCAACCGGCTATGCAGTGGCACAGACCCGATTTGTTATCGCAGGCTGCTCCATTTTGGCACTGGCACAGATTCTTGCAGTCCAGTCCCCAGCGATCGTGATCGCAGCCTTAAAAATAACCAATTAACCACTGAACTATACAGATATTCCCATATACTCACGCTGTGTGCAATGTTTGCCAATATATCCCTCCTCGCAACTGCAAATTTCGGGCATTACGCAACTGCCACGCCCACAACCGCCCCGGCAAATGGGCTTGCAAGTGGCCTGGCTATCCGAAAGATTTCCCTCGTAGCCTTGACAACAAAAGCGAACTTTTCGCGTCTTGTTTAATTTCTGAAACATTTAAAGTCAATTAACTTCAATACCCACTAGGTCTTCAGCAGGCTTATCTCAAATTCTATAAAAGAAAAAAAGTGTTCCACAATACTGCAAACTTGTTATTGGCATTCTATTTGTTCATATAAATAGTCAAGATTGAATACATTTTCTTAAATTTGCTTATGTGGTTGTGAACTTAGAAATAATAATAATAAAAAACAAAATTGAAACAAATCTTAAATTGAATAATAATAATTAAAGTACTACAAAGTTGTATTTGTGAGTTAACTTATAGATATTATATTTTATGACACATACAAAACCGTCACAAAAAGATCATAATAATTTGAATGTTTTATTTAAATAGTGTAATAACAATGAGCTTTCAAGAGACTATAGTCTAAGCAAAGCCAAAAAGTATGCCGCATTAAAGTTCACATTCATGTGGATTGCTTGGAAATCTCAGAAATACCAGAAAATCTCTTTGATCTGCTACGCTGAAGAGGGCATCATCGCAAGAGTTCATTAATTGGATAAACTTGTGAAGAGCCCTCCATCAACCCAGTCAACGCCTCAGTGTCACTTTGCCCCTGTGGGCAGTGGACTTCGGCCCAGCTCTCGACAGTTACAAAATTGAGATGGAGATTATTGTAAGTCGTCGAGCAAAGGGCACAGACCCGCCCCCAGAAGTACACGCATTGCCCGCGAATACCCCTTGAGTTGCCAATTTAATTGGATAACTGAATTCCGGGCGAGCTTCTCACACTCATTCCGGTTCCAGATTTAGTCCCCGTCCATTTCCCGACTCACGCATTGTTCGCAGCCTGATGGATTCGTATCTGTGTATCTGTATCTGTAGCTGCCAGCATATGTGTCCCCCACAGATGAATAAGGCGGAAATTTTAATATAAACAGTGAAATTCGATTCGAGTTTGGTCTTCTGATTCATTGTGTCTGCATAATTACGGGTGGCTTTTCAAATGTTTGTCATAAATAGTAATTGAATACAAGTTGAGCAATTTTTGTACATGTGCCACACCACTAACCACATGGTTAACTCTAGCCCCACCAACTTCTAACCACCCTGTACATCAATCAGCTGCAATGACATTTTTTTTCTTCGGAAAACTATTGAAAATCTTTCGGCACTTTGTGGCTCAAGTTACTGTCAGTCGAGAGATCAGATTGGTTTTTCCCCTTAAACGCAAACTTCTTTATGCGTTCATGTTGATGTTAATTAATTAAATTAAATTGCCGAATTAGTGGCTACATTTTCAGACCAAAAGCCTAGAGTTGGCCAAGCAGGCGTTGACCAAAATCGCCAGGAATGCAAGCGGCAGGGTTAGAAAATAGTTGCCGCAAGCGGTGAAATATGCTTTTGGGGTGCAGACCATTAAGGTGATTCTCCGCGAACACCTTCGCGCAAGGCAGAAAACCTCAAGAGCTCCAATTAAAATAATTATGAAATTAATTCGAGACAAGCAGCGAGCGATCTCGACTCGCACAAATCATTAGACACGATACCGAGAAAAAATAAACTAAGCCAAAACTGGCTGCCTCTTGTCATGGCGATGGCGATGGCGACGCTTGCAACTCGGCTTAGTGATGCAATCGAAAGTGTGTCAACAGCTTTGGCATCAAGTCGCCGCGCACAAGTGGAGCTCTTAATGCCGCCGATCGGTCCTCCGATCCTCCGGTCCCGGCCATAAGTGCTGGATTTTCCGCTTTTCATTTGCACTTTCCATCACTGACACCATGACATAATTATTTTGCCTACCCCAAGCCAACCAAAAAAAAAAAGTGGCAAAATAAATAAATGAATAGAAAAAACCAGCCGAGCCTGATTAGGCCCCTCGGATCAGGCAACTGCAACCGGATTCTGGCCAAGCTTGGTCAACACTTGGCCGCCGCCGTTGTTTTCCACGCTTTGTCCACTGCACAGCTCAAAATGGCCAAGCGGTGGGTATTGTGGACTTAATAGTATGCTTGTGTGCCCCTAACAATTGCCTAAAATTAATAAATATTTATTGACACTAATGGTGAATCAGTTATCATCATTTATCACAGTAGCATTTAAAAAGTTGTGATGTAAGTGTACTCGTTGTGGTATCTAACTAATGAAGGATTATTAAAATAAAGATGACTGATTGGTAGACGGATAGAAAATGTGTATAGACTTTGGCTTATATTGACTCTTATTGATCCTCTAAAAAACTGTTAAATTTCACAAGTTTTTCAAAATCGTATTTTGTAATATTGGGATTATTTTACAATAAATTATTTACGCCAAAAAAAATGTATATCCTTCGGAAATTATATAAAAATAATGACATATTTGTTTTATTCGAGTTGTTTATTATTATTACTTTTGGATAATTAAAAAGCAATATTAGTTATGAAAAATGCGTATACCCCGCATGTGCCCAGTAGTTCAAGAAGTTTAACAGCCAAGGACACGCTGGCACTTGGGATGCTTTGGAGTCAAACCGGTCGTTTGCATCCCAGCCAAGTGAAGTGCATCAGCACATCACAGCTGCCACCAAGTTGCACTCGACTCGGCTTCCGTTCTCCATAGGAGAAGGACAGGAAACCCCGCTGAGATTGGCCAGAATTGCGCAACCCATCTGATTGCGGACAGAACCCATATAGCGAGCGAAATATATATATATGAGAAACCCAATCAAAGTCGGCCATCGAATCGGGGCAATTTATGGATATCGTGGTGAGCGGTTTCCTGGTTGGGCAAATCGAAATCAGGTTTGTGGCGCAGGCTCCCCAAGATGGTGGAAAAAGTGGCCACGGCGAAGGTGTTGCCACTGGCTGGGATGACGATGACGCAAGAGATGCCCGCAAAGGCAGAGCCGGCAGTGGAACACCTGCGACCATTTGGATATTTGCTCCGGAGGCAGTGCAACTCACCTGGACCTTCATCACCTCGCGCATTTCCGTCTTGTATGTGGCGCACCTCGGCGGGATCTCCATGCACCAACTGGAGGTACGGACCCGCACCGGTTGCATCTCCGGCACCTGGACGTGCTCCACGTAGGGCTCCTCGCGGATGCAAATGTTCCCCGGGCCCTGGATCGAGGGCAGGGCCACGGCCCCAGCTTCGACATCTTTCAGGTTTGTGTTGATCTTGAGGCTGCTATTTTGGCCATACCCCAGTGGTATTATAATTGCAAGGATCAGGAGCAGTTCCACAAAAATCTTTTCTTGTGTCATATTAGTCGTTATATTTCAGCTAAGTTTTAAATCAGGCGTTTCAAACAGTTCACTTCATTATCCCACGATTAACAAAGTATATTTTGTTAGTAATCCTCTCTTTTCAGAAAATGGATTTTGGTATCAGCTTTATTAAATTAGTATTTAATCATTTTTTTGGAATATTCCCAAAAGGAAAACTTTTTCCTATGTTTTATTTAAATTGTTGTTGAATTAAGCTTAAGTTTTTCTTCAGTTCTATAAACTTAAAATCCCTCTGATAATCGTTATAAGTTAACAGATCACTTTTATTTTTTTTATTAAGATATCTAATTATAGGCTTAAAACATTGCACTATATTATAACTGATCCAAAGGAGGATCTCCGTTTACAATTATTTAGGCTAGCCGCTCTATATGCGCCGCGTGTACGTTTGGATCGCGAGTCTCGTGAAAACTGTTTCCCCGTTGGCGGTGATTCTGTTTACTCACCCGAATGTTCCTTCTCGAAATAAAGTAAACTACGAAAGCAGCAACAAAATACAGTAGTCATTGCAAATTGTCGTCGAGCCAATAAAGGCCATTCGGGGTGGCGGGGTGGAGGGGTGCTTGAGATCGGAGAGCGGAAGTACGCACTGCACACCCGATTCTACAAAGCGAAAGTGAAATGTAAAGCACCCCGTTAAACGCACAGCGAAGTCTCCACTGCAAGTGAATGAAAGTCAACTCCCCAAAGCGAATTTCCCTCGTCCCAACCCCACCAATACCCACTAATCCCCTCCAGTCCCCCGATCATGACGAGGGCGATGATTGCATCTAATTGAAATGTTGATCATGTCCTTAACATGCGACTGTCATTGCGGGGCAAAAACCCGACTCTGGCTGTTGTTTTCGTTGTCACTTTTGTTTTGATTTGCCTTGCGCTTTTCTTCAGCATATGGAGTTGATCCTAAACTGGGGATTTAATGGCATAACAGAAGTATGGGAGAATTAAACAGAATTAATTGGGGGCATTATAACGTGATTGAATAGTTTAGATTGATGGAATACATTTATAACTAGTTCAAACGCATGCAACTTAACTTAACTAATATTAAATATTTTCAGAGCGGAACTTCCAAGATTGCCTTATAACGTAAGATATTAATAAATTGTAAGCATCCTTAAACAAACATATGAGGTATTCAAAAGTAAAAACGTTAAAATTGAGCAGTTTAATATCCCAATTTAATTATAAATGTTTTACTACTTGAATTCGCTATAAAAATTGCAATAGCCATTCACAGCTGAAAAATTTAATTTATAACCAATTTTTGCAAAAAGTGAAAAATACGAAAATCGGTCAGAAAGTAATATCTTATCAGATCATCATGGAAATTATGTATTAAGTCGTAAGCTGCTAAAAACAGTCATTATTTTGGATTTGGTTGTTTTTTCCGGTAAGATAAAACTAAAAAGCACTTATACATTCTTTTTATGGTGTTTATTTAGCCAAATTTTCCTAAACACCTTAAAAACAAAATAAGAGAATATTACAATAAAAATTTTAATTTTCCTGGTCAACAGCAATCCCCTGCGGTGTCAACACATTTTATTAAGCATAACTTCAGTACTAATTTAATCAGTTAAAATCTATGATATTGTCTTAGATTAATAATGATGATACTTACTTGTGCGCCTTGATCAAGTTTAAAGTACTTAGCTCGTTTCACGCATTGCCATCACTATTTAAGTTGATTACAAGTGTGTGGAAAGTATGCGGATCCACTTATCTCACTCAGCCAAAGTGTCATATTTCTTAGATAAACTTTAGAACAATGCCACTGGGATGACCGTGCACCACCACCCCCAACCACCGACCAACCCACACTAGTGTTGATTGTCTTGTTTACACCGAAGTCGCTGCTGTTGTTGCTGCTGCTGCAATTTATTAAATCAAATTTATACACAACACAAAACCAGTTGGCTACTTCACCAGAAACCGCAGCCGGGGCAGCAGCTGCAGCAAAAACAAAAGCACAACTGTGAAATTGCCGCAGGTTTATTTATTTTATTTGATTAAATTGTAAGCAACAACGAAGCCAACAACAAACGCAACAAATGAGTGAGCAATGTGCGTGCGACGCCAGAGTTCCAATGACCCGCATGGGTTGCACTCACCATCGCACTCTAAGTTGCACCAAGGCCCCAAAACCCCACAGTCCCCCTATCATTTTGATACTGGTTTTATAGAGGGGTATCCAAAGAACCAAAGTGCATACCAAGATCTTAAAAATCTTCAGAGAGCTTAAGCAGTGAGTAAGTAATTAAAATAAAATCCCTTTGTTAACATGTTAGAAAAAATAACAAGATTTATTCTTATGTTTAAAATATATTATCATCTTTCCGCTTATTATTTTTTCAAATTATTAACAGAACACCAGGTATCCTCAATTCGAGCAATCTTAAAAGCTCATATTCTGTTTTGTTGCAATTTTTAGGGTGCAGCCAGTCGAACAATTTGTCAGATTTGCGTTTTTTTATTTTTCGTTTATTTAATTTTAGAATTGTGTGTGTGTATTTTTTTGGCATTGATTCAAGTTCAACTTGGTTATAGGTGCGACTTGAATAAGCGGAAGTAGTAAGTGGAACAACATTTTGTCTGACTGTTTGTTTACAGGTTCTAAACATAGATGGGCTCGCCAATGCTAGAAACTCAAAAGAATTGGAAGCTCAAGTAGGAGGATATTAATATGATCAGAGGATACAGGTAAGTGGATGACTTTAGGCCCATACCACCGTTGTAATAACCTCCAAAGATCTGCAGGCCGGCGGTTTCGATGCTGCGTTTGCAGTAGTCACCATCGTAGTTCCATCCCACATACTCGTTCGTCCGCAGATTCTCCTGACGCAGCCACTCCTCCAAAGGTGCAAAATATTCACGAAGGGCACTGCCATCCAATCGACCATCCCTCAATGTTTCCTCAAGGACCTCTTGCCAGGGCTGGGAGGCGCCCTTGGACATAAGCGTTCTGAGGGGAAAGAAGAAATTATTTTTGAAAGGATCTCTCATTATGTCAATAATTTTAATTAATACTAATATCTTCATTATTTCTTTTTAAAATAACTTTAAGACCCTATATGCTTAATAAGGAAATTTACAAATGTATAATGTTTATGGCTAAATATCTGCTGCTATCTGTTGAGATTGAAAGAATGAAATAATCACTTTCATTTTTACGTTTTGTATGTTTTTCTATCAATAAATTGATGAAACTGAAATGTGATGGGTATAAATAAGATGATCAAAAGGAATAGAAAAAGATTGATAATACCAAAAATCGTTAACATCTTAATACAAATGAATGGAACTTATAAATTTATTATTAAGATATTAAAATAACTAAAGGTTAATGATTCAACCAAAATCAATTTTAACATTTACTTATTATTCTGAAAAATGCTCACCTATATAATTTATATATATAATGAATTTATATAATCATGTTGATAAAAATATTATTAAATAAATCATAACTTACTTGAGTATATTGCCCGCCGCTGGCTGGCGATATATGTCACACTGGTGCAGCGGCTTCTTGGGATCACCTGGGATATACTGGCCGGACTCGCGACAAAGACCTCTATAGATCTGGAACTGCAGAACCGTGGAGAAAAAGTACCTGAAAGTGGACGGAAACATGACTTTAATGTGACTGGTGCAAATGGGCATTAGAACGGCGGCGGTCACGCTTTTTGGCCGACATAAACATTGTCAATTGTCTCTGGTGAGAGTTGCGAGTTGAGTCAGTCCGTGTTTTTGGTGTTGGTGGTTGGCAGTTGGCAGTTTGAGCCCCAGTCGAGCTGGTCGTTCAATCGCATTCTGGCTCAAGGTCGAGCTCCAGTTGAAGCCTTAAACTAAAGCAAGTCGACGACGCCGACGACCAACAAAAGTCGTTCTCTTGCAGTTTCGAAATCATGCAAAAGTCAAGTTTTGTGGTCTTGTAATTGCCATTTGCTTTATGCTCATTTAATCACATTTATGTTTATGGCATTTTTATTGTATTTTTATGGCGACGACTGCGCAATCAAGTAGCAATTATTCAAAATATAATTCCGAATTGGTTTTACCCTAAGCAGCTGGATTTCGTTTTTTAAATCAAAATTTATAAATAGGAAATCTATTTTCGAAGAAACTATTTTTCTGCGTAGTCACTGCCTTTTGATTTATCATCATTATGCAATATTTTGCCAACGCTTGGGGATTTTTTTAGCATACAAAACTACTAATAAGTTGAGGGCCAAGAACAAGTTCAACTAATGGATTTCTTTTGTTTTTTTTTTTTCCTTCTAAATGAGAGGGAAGAGCCGATAATTTGTTACGGCCTTCTGCTAGGGGATTCCCCAACGGAAGCGGTTTAGATGGTTTTAAGGCGTTGAACTAGAGGTCTGGGGTGAGATCGTTTAATTCCCACAACCACCCCCGCCTCACATAACACTCATTCCTCCCAGCGAGAATGTTGCAAGTGGGGCCTAGGAAAAAATGGCATATTTAATGCTCACTTTTCACAATGTTCGATCACGGCTGCAATACTCCCAGACGTAGAAACAACGTGCCCGGGCACCATTAAGTGCATCAGCTTCGGCAACTGCAACTACTTGGCCCGGTGGCTTGGTGGCTCAGTGGCTTGCTGGCTTGGTGGCTTGGTGGCTCGGTGGTGTGTTATGTTTTTGGCACTTGGCAGCGGTTGCCACATTGCCACATCGTCGCCACATTTTCCCAGAGACGCGACATGACCCAATAACAGGGATTAGGCAGCTGCCTCGTCGTCGTCGTCGCTTGAAGTTGGTGTGGTGTTGCTGTATGTTGCTCTTACTGTTGCTGTTTCAACGGCTGCCATTCATTCGTTCAATCATTCAATCAAACACTCGGCCAGTCTGGCAGTCTTGGTCCAGTCAATCAGAGCCAACATTGTCGGCAATTAGTCCAATTTTTGTTGCTGCAGCTAGTGGTGCCAGTGCTGCTGCCACTGCAGCAACCGCTTTGTGCTAAAATTAAATGTTGCGAAAATTCTTTTCAACGTCTGGGACATGGAACATGTGTTTCATGAAAAATATGCGAAAAATCTTTAATTTTCAGAGACCACAAAGCGAGTGCGATTC